TAGTGAGCCACAAGTCTCACTGTCAGGATATTTTAATTTAAGCCTTTAATAATTATTAATAAAATAATTCTTACCAATAGCCAATAGCTATGATATTGTATAATTCAATATATTTGTATATAGCTGTAAAAAAGTTATTTATTATGGTCTGCATACTGTTGAGTACCACATTTCCTATTAAATGCAAAACCATTTTTTTTTTGTTTACTTTAGCTTACTTAATGATACTGTTATGTTTCAATAAATAAGCCAAACCCACCGGCCCAGCTCAACTTTTCGATTTAATAATGCGGCCCTCGAATGAAGCTAATTGAATAGCCCTGCATTAGAGGGTGAAAACAACGCAACATGCGCATGTTGGAGGCTTGATCTGACCATTTTACATCTCTGGTTTTGTATGCAAAAAGAATGATCGAGCTAGCCACTTGGTTTCAGTTTCTATAGGCTGTTAAACAGACACACGCAAACCGGAGCGCTGACGCTCCCGTCGGTCTTAAAGGTTAAAGGACAAGTTCGGTATTTTACAATTAAAGCCCTGTTTTAAGATTGTCCCTGCCTGATGAAATAGAATAGTTAAGATTGTTTTTTAGTCAAATGCTCCTGTCACGAGAATTTTTGGATTCTGTGTTAGCACCCCCCCACCTTTACAATGAAAGCATAGACGTGCACTCGAACAATCATTCATAAAAATGCATAAAACTTTAGTTTACAAAGACGTGAAACTCACCGAGTGGTCTGGGGTGTTCACTGATATGCTCACACAAAAATCGCTGCAAAAGATGCTTTCCAACAGGTTTTATCGTAGTTTTTGTCCGACTTCATTTTCTTCGAAGTCCACAGTAGTCGATTGTCGAGTTCACGAGCGCGATCATTGGTAACTAGATAACTAAGGATCGCGCACGCAAACTCGACAATCGACTACTGTGGACTTCGACCAAAAACAGGAAGAAAATGGACTTGGACAAAAACTACGATAAAACCTGTTGGAAAGCATCTTTTGCAGCGATTTTTTTTTTTGTGAGCATATCAGTGAACCCCCCCAGACCACTCGGTGAGTTTCACGTCTTTGTAAACTAAAGTTTTTTGCGTTTTAATGAATGATTGTTCGAGTGCACCTATGTTTTAATTATAAAGGTGGGGGGGGGGTGCTAACACAGAATCCAAAAATTCTCGTGACAGGAACATTTGACTAAAAAACAATCTTAACTATTCTATTTCATCAGGGACGATCTTAAAACAGGGCTTTAATTGTAAAATACCGAACTTGTCCTTTAAAGCTGCAGTCGGCAAGTTTGGCAGATTGAGTGGACTTTGGCAAAATTTTGAATGTTTATAACTCATATGGCCCTCCCCCCCTATCAGCGAATACCCTCCCACAGAGTTCGTGCTCGAGTGCTCGTATGCTGCCCTGACTAATCTAGCAATATATTACAATTGCTAACGTCATAAATACTGTAAATGAGCTTACTTGGTTTGTTAGTGTTCTGCCATCACTCTTCCTTACTGCGCGAACTTCAGGCGTGTGCATGTGATTGTAACGTGCGCGAGGGGTGGCGTGTGCCCGATCTGTGATTGACAGTCAGATCTCACACCCCCCTGCGCTGATTGCACCCGATGATCCGGGAGCGCTGGATTTTTGCAAAACAAGTTACACGCTCCAGATGGAGTTAGAAGCTCGGGTTTTTTTTCTAAAACCACTTTATTTCTGTTGTTCTGTCGGATTATAGTGTCGATTTCATTGAATATGATCAAAAAAATGTTGCCGACGGCAGCTTTAAACAAAAAGTTAGATCCACCTTTAACCAAGATGTTTGAGCATTCCAACCGTGACATTTGATAGGGAGAAAAAAACATTCCCTTTTATTACAGACACACACCTGTTGAAGTTCTCTGTTTACATGAGAAACTCTTGATGCCCCAGTGTCATTGTTTTTAAAGAAAGAAATGTAAATATGTCTATACTGTAATTGTTGCACTTTTTTTCTAAAGCTGAAATTAGAAGCTCCTATATTGTGCTTTTTAATTTTGGCGCAGTTTTATGGATGTTCCCATATTTAATATTATCCGTCACTATGGTAAATGACAGTATTCTCACAGTCTGAGAATGGAGAACAGGCTTGACTTTGCTCATTAATACAAACAGAACTCAAGTCAAGCCGTTAACTTTGTGAACAGAACTATGAAACAATGAAAGTGTTCAATGTAGCCCACAAATTGGGCAGGACACAGTTCTACCAAATCTCGAGAATTAGCGGGACTTGTTTTCCAGAGGAACGTTAGAGAAATGCATATTTCACAGACGTACTTTGCAATTTGAATCCCAACCAAATCTGCCAAATCAGTGTTTTTCCCTCACACAAACTCTGTAAAGGGCAAATTACCTTTTGTTTTTTTGTTTTTGGCAAACAATCTATTCCGAATGCAAATGTCTGTGTTTGCTGATGTTGTATTATTATTATTATTATAACGCTTCTCCTCATCATGTGTTTTTGACCTACCTGAGCCACTGTTTGCACACCTATCTTCTGCATGATTTAATTTAGCTTCAATATGGATGGTATCCGGAGAAAAAAAATAACTGCCCATTTTAATATCACTGTAAGCACTTGTCTGCTCACTAATGCAAGTTTCTTATAAACAGCCACTGCTATAAACTCACGAAGTTGACTTAAATAGGGGTTTTATTCTAAATTATATTAACAAATAATATTTTAAAAGACATACGCAATGCACACAAGCATAGCACTTGACGACCTGTAATGGTACGTCTAGAAAACGCACGCACACACACACACTCGCACCTCTGAAATAAACACAGATTTTACTCCCGTCCAAATCAGTTCATGAAATCAAAGACATTGAGTGATTAAAAGTTAGAATTAGTGAACTAATCCTGTCTAAAAAGGGCTATAGTCTCAATGTGACTCAACGTTATTTTAAGATGTAACTTGATTTAATCTAAAACCTGGTGATGTCATACATACTTACTGTATGTGACGAAATTGTTTATACTTTTCTCTGATAAGAAGCACGTACAGTATGCTTCCTTTGTAAAATATGTGCGGACAATGCGGGAAAACCCTGGAAGTTAGTGGCATGTACGTGTATACCGTGCACACTGTCACCACTCTCCCATTGACCGGCCACGGGTGAACTGGTGACCCCCGAATCCCTCACACAAGTCTAGCTATTTAATACGTTTACATTGCTCTGTTGCTCATTGTGATTGTTAAGTGTTATAAGCTGCACGGCTCCCACACTTGAAAAGGGATTACTTCTGAATTGAACACAACAATGAGACTTAAGTTGCCTTCTCTCAATTTATTGCTGAATTTCAGTCACTCCAGGTTGATGTCAATTACAACTTTTTGGAAAACGATGATGTGTGCACGATGTCATTATTGAATACGGAGGGGCTGGGAAATGTTTTTTTTTGTCTAAATACCCGGCTACGTGTAAATGAGGCCTAGATCTCAAAGCTGATGTCAGGGAATTTTTATTGCACACATAGTAGGCAATCGAAGCCTAGCATGATGTCATACATTGTGCTTAACATCATTGGGGGTTTCCCTGCAATTACCACACACATTTTACACAAGAACCATACAGAGAATATCTTAGAGAAAAGTGTCAATATTTTCATCACATAAGTGTAGTAACCCAGAGTTATTTTAAATCAGTTTAAAAAATCAGCAGGTGCAGTTTAACCCTTGAGTGCCTAATCCTTCCTTCATCAGTTTGTTTGATTTGTAGTTATATTGCAGTGTGATGTATTGAATGCTGGCAAGTTTTGCAGCTAAAGTGCTGGGAGTGCTGGAAATGTTCGGGGGGGCACGCTCTTGCGCATATAAAATACAGCATAAAGTTGTGGTCGAAAGACATACATTCTGTTTCACGTGTATTTTTTTTTTTAATAGATAGGCTACTGTACATCCCAGGCAGATTAGAATAAAGTGTCACATAGCATAGTGTGTTGAAAAGAGCAAGCCAAAAGTCCCCAGATAGTCTACTTTATCTGAAAGATAATGCCGAATTTGCTAGGAAATCATCTGTCCGTAGGATACGTTATTCTACTTTTTTAAAGCTTTGACTTATCTGCACAAAAATTGGTACATATCAGTGACCGCATGTTTCGAAGGTATCCGAGACATTTGGAGACAATGCCACCAAGTGTTCTGAAGATATGATTTTTACAAAAACTCTTGTAACGTTAACATTCATGATTTACAGTATGCCAATAAGGATAGTATACCATTTTCAAACCTTTTGCTTGTTTATGATTTTGAAGTATGTGAAAATATTCTCCCAAAAACAAGGGAACAGCTTTCTGAATTACTGCCTGGTTTAGTTGACTATGTTAGTTTTATAATGCCAGAATCGGGTGTGACGTTTTCTTGGGCAGTAAATACAGTCACATTGACGTAAATGGGGCGGGGGACTAAATGAAGAGCAGCTGGAAGGTGATTTATTGTCTAATGCATCTTCAAACAATCAATGGCTTCAGTACATCACATGAAATTAACTCAGGGGCCACATGATATGACAGTCACAATATAATGAAATTAACTTGAAGATCATTTTTTAAACTTGAATATCATTATTATTTAATACAATGCTATATAAATAAAATAATGCTGTACAATTTGTCAACTGCTATTTAACACTGTCAGGAAAAAAATTGCAAAAATTTGGGGACAGCAGGTCGTCACCCTTTACGCAAAGAACATATTTCCATATAGCAGATTAGTATATTCTTTTTTTTTAATAGATATTGAAAATAGTGTGCTATAATAAATAAGGAACATAACTCCAAACTAACGTGAATGTGACAATATCGTAATGGTCATATTCAATAATACATTTGTGTATAACATAATATAAATGCATGTAATACATATGGTACTTTTTGGGTATAAATACATTTGAACATACCAAATATGAGAAAAATGTATGATATATGTAACTTTAATTTGTATTTTTTTTTTTTCATATATACACAGGATTATTGGTGCCCTGCCAACACTCCAGGACCTGTACTCTTCCAGAGTGAGGAAGAGAGCAGGTAAAATCATCACACCCACCCTGGACACCACTTGTTTGAACTGTTACCGTCAAGACTGGCCACAAAAACATCTCGGCACAGGAACAGTTTCTTCCCATAGGCCATCTCCCTCCTGAACAGTTAACACACTTCCCAAGGAATATGCATTTAAAGGAGTAGTTCACTTTTAAAAAAAACTTTTGCGGATAATTTACTCATCCCCGTGTCATCCAAGATGTCTATGTCTTTCTTTCTTCAGTCGAAAAGAAATTAAGGTTTTTGATGAAAACATTCCAGGATTTTCTCCATATAATGGACTTTAATGGGAACCAAACGGTTCAAGGTCCAAAAGACACTTTCAGTGCAGCTTCAAAGGGCTTTAAACGATTTCAGACAAAAAAACAAAGTTTAAGTTTTAAAAGCTCAAACGCTCGCCTTGCTCTGTTCTGTGATGCGCGTTCGTGACGCTCCTGTTCGAACTCGTTTATTAAAATGAACGAATATTTTTTCGTGTCATTTGGTTGATTCAACGAACGAAATGAACGAATTGACTTGGAAAAAGATTCGTTCATTTTGATGAACGAGTTCGAACAGGAGAGTCACGAACGCGCATCACAGAACAGAGAAAGGTGAGCATTTGAGCTTATAAAACTTAAACTTTGTTTTGTTTTTGTTTTTTAAATGAGCGATCATTTCGCTTGATAAGACCCTTATTCATCGTCTGGAATAGTTTAAAGCACTTTGAACACTTTGCACTGAAACTGTCTTTTGGACCTTGAACCGTTTGGTTCCCATTAAAGTCTATTATATGGAGAAAATCCTGGAATGTTTTCATCAAAAACCTTACTTTCTTTTTGACTGAAGAAAGAAAGACATGAACATCTTGGATGACATGGGGATGAGTAAATTATCAGCAAAAGTTTTTTTTAAAAGTGAACTACACCTTTAAGTGCAATACTCCCACTGTTTAGTGCAATATCTTAAACTCAGGTGATATTCATCATATGTAGATAATTTCTAATATTTAAAACACTGTAAATTACTGCTCGTAATCTGTAAATCTGTAAAAGTTTATGCGACTAAACCCAACTGTGATACTTTTATTCTCATATTTTAATTGTTTTATTATATTTGTATAACTATGTTTCTTGTTGTATTTGTATATGTGCACTGGAAGCCTCAGCACCAAAACAAATTCCTTGTGTGTGCAATCACTTGGCAATAAAGCTCTTTCTGATTCTGATTCATGCTTATTTTTTTAAATGAAAAGAGTAACTCCAAACAAAGTGAGATTGTTCAGCCCTGTGTTAATTGAATATATTTTCAATAGTCCCACATGGTTCATGCATTTACAGATTTGATCCTCTCCAGGAGAAGGGTTGGCTTCCTCTGCCTTAAAGAGACACTTGTTTACCTTATCTCCCTAATACTTTGACACTTTTAGGGATCAGCTTGTAAAAGGCCACACAATCTGTTGATCTTGTGTTATCTTATGACTTATCTATGATATTGACGTTTGTGGAGTTAGTTTTACGCATCACGAACAACCTCGCTCTGTTGTTCCTCTGTAAACAAGTCTTGTAACCTAGAATGTCCTCTTGATTCATGGAGTGCTGAAGATCTTACTTCTACCGTGGTTGCCAGAACTTTACAGTCAAAAATACGGTAGTAACGTTATTGTTTTTATAGGCTTAACTTAAAATTTACAGTATTTAATCTTATTTTGTAATTTGATATTATGTTAATTTACCAACGTATTGAAGAATTGATATCAGTTTTGTTCTATTGTTACACACCGACAACCGACGATAATCCCAGCAGTGATGAGATCAACGCTCGCATGATTAATCAATGCTCATCACACACAGTCTTCCATAAGAAGGTTAACACTTACATAAAGAAGACACAAACATTAAACACCATCATGGTGACACACATGAAATTAAAAAAAAAGTGCAATAAACATTAATTTAACAACATTAAATGTAACATAAATCCCCAGTGTACATAACTGATTAGAAAAATAACAAGAAAACTATGACGAACCGTAGTTATTTCAACAAAAATACATAAAATGTGAAATGTCACACAGGGAATTGTGGGAATGTCAATTTACGTTTTTTCACTGTAAATTATACAATGAGTTCTTTTTCACTTTCAAAAATTGTAAATGGAACGGTATTTTACAGTTAAATTACATTAAACGTACCATGAGATCTATCACAGTTATTTACCGTATATAGAACGGAAACTTTCTGTTAACCAATTAACAGTTGCACTGTAGTCTTTTACCGTTAAAATCACGATTATTTTTTACAGAGAGAGATTAGATCTCATATCCAACCTCCTTTGTTTGATCCACCCAACTCTGTTTGATTCAGTGGTTTTTCTCGGTTTGAACCCATTTCTCTGGAATTTAAAAAAGTTAATCAGTTTATCAGCTTACCAACCATGACCAACTCCTACAAATATTAATATTGAAACAGGTGCATACTGTTGAACATACTGTTGTATGCCAGAGTGTTTAAAACATGCTCGTATTAAGAAACCATATCTCGATCCTACTGTTTTGGCAGATTTAAGGCCTATCTCTACCGTTTATTTCTAAAATTATAGAGGAAAAAAAGTATTCCAACAATAGCAGAATCATTTGAACAATGTCTTTGAACATTTCAGTTGGGATTAGGAAATACCAAAGCACTGAGACTGCTTTGCTGATGTTTGTAAAACACATAGTTTTAACTGTGGACTTATGTGATAATGCTATTTTCTATATACTCGACTTTAGTGCAGCATTTGATACCGTAATCCAAAATATCCTTATTTCCCGCTTTGAACACTGTGGAGGGAGATAAGAGATAATTGGTAGTTTATATTCCGGTTTTTCTGTTTATCTTGGGGATTTTTTTTCTGCTTCGACTCCCTGGTGTATCTATTCTTCATTCATATTTCCATTCATTCATCTTCATCCGCTCATCTGGGGTGCGGTCGCGGTCGATTCATTCATACTTCCAAAACCTTAATCTGGAACAATTATCTTGCTTCTATAAACCATCTGTTAAAAAAACAAACCTTGGGTTTCTTATTCATTCCTTTATTTCTACCCCATTTAATTACTGCAAGTCCGTCTATTTCTTGACTTCACATGCTGCAGCTAGACTTTTGTTGGATGTACACAAACATGATCATATAACCCCAAATTTAAGGTCGCTTCATTGGCTTCCAGTCTGCTATAGAATTTATTTTATGATGATTTTTTTGTTTTTAAATCTTTAAACGGACTGCCACCTACTTGTCTTCTGCCTATGCACAATCCATTGAGATCCCACAGATCCGAGGTTGTTAACCGTGCCTATAGAGTGCCGAAGTTATCACGTCACTTTGTAGGCCAAAACGCGGAAGTGAGTTGGCATTTTAGCACTCCCGGTTACCTCGCCCTAAAGTCTATACGTTTTTTGAATGGGTTTTTGCTAAACCTGAAATAAGGTCTGTGGTTAACAAAGCCTCTAAATATTTCCACATTTTGATCTATGACAGAACACACCAGTTATAACCTGCTTGTGGTTTTTTAAACTTTATATAGGCTTCAAAATATATACATTTGGATTAACTTGTTTAGATTATCTTGATAGACAAAATGTGTAAGGGTCACAAATCTTTGTTGAACACAGATCTCATTTTTTGCGATTTTCCAAAAGTCTATGGGGAAAATGCATTGCTTTTCGATCGAGGGAACCCATGCGCCGCTAACTTCCGATTTGACCAACAAAGTGACGTCATCACTTCGGCACTCTATAGGGAAAGACTTCTGGTGCGCAACATGACATCATGACTTTTGCGTAAACATACACGCCACTTTCGAGTCACGCATTTTGAGCTATCCACGTGTATCCGCGTGTATGTCTACGCCATTAATGTCGGAGTGATTCCGCGTGTCTGTACACGCCGTCAAATGTCCAAATGAAACGAAGCAAAATATAGATCTACATCTGGGGAGGGTTTTTTTTTTTCCTATGATGGTAAGGGAGCACTCATAATTGCCATTAACCCCAGTGACGGGTAGGTTTAGGGATGGGGTTGAGGTAGGTCTTATATTTACATATACAGTAATAACGTTAAGTCAATGGCATTCATAAACACGCTGAAAAGCAATGGTGCGTGTTGATAGTAGGGATGTCCCGATACCACTTTTTCACTTCCGATACCGATACCGATGCCGCACCTTTGGCTTTTGCCGATACCGATATTAGTCCGATATTTTTTTTTTCGTGGTCCGACGTGCCGTATACGGCCCACAGGGTGGTTTATAGGTTTAACTTTGTGAAAGACAAAACAAAACAAACACAAAAGTAAACATAATACACATCTTTGGAAAGCTGAGAAACTCGTGATTCGAACGACGTAAACCATTTTAAGATACAATCAACACAGCGGGCACAATCTGTCTCTTTGTCAGACCACCAACAGCCAAAACAAACCAACACAAACTGGAAGAAACTCACCAATTAGCCATCTGTTAGTCCACATTCCAACAAAAATGGTTTGGTTTCACTGTAAAGCGTCCATACAATCCAATTTGAAGAAGTTTTTAGTCCAAAACAATTGTATATATGAATAAACATCCATGGAATGTAAATAGTAGCATTTCGCGTTAGCCGACAGCGCTATCACAACTTCGACGCACTAATGCTACGTTCACACCGGACGCGAATAGGGCGTCAGGCGCGAATGATTTCAAGTCAATGCAAAGACGCTTTACGCGCGTGAAAAATTCCTGCGGCGCGAATGAGGCGTGGAGCGCGGCGCGGAAGACGCCTCATTCGCGCGTCAAGTTGGCGCGAATGGCGCGAATTGAGCGTTGTGCATTCACGCGTTTGACGCGAATTCGCGTCTGCCGCCCGAGTTGAAAAATCTGAACTTTGGCGTGAATTCGCGCCGCGTTAACCAATCAGGAGCCTAGCTGCTTGCTCACGTGGTGAAGTGTCTGGATGCTTCAATAAATTATTTTGTTAATATGACTA